TCGCTAATGTCAGCACAAGACAGGCCTGGACCCAAACCTGTCCCATGTTCATCTTGTGAATCTTTAGTTTACTCTTGATGAACCACAACCCATTCTTCTGCGGAGAGAAACTAATTAAGAAGTGAGGACAGCAGTGGGTCAGCCATTTGTGTGTTCCCCGAGGTTTAATTAGAGTCATCAGCAAGAGCACAGCTGAGGAGTTTAGTTTTGTTTTGGAGTGTGGACAAACAACACCCAGTGGCTACAATGCCCACTAGGAAAAATGACTTCTTCCTGTGTAAGCATTAATTGCCAATAGCTTCTCAGGAAGGGGTGGGGCCTAAAAAGTTCCCCCTACGTGATGGAATGTTAACAGGCCCTATCAGGTTGGACAGCATTTTTAATAGGCAAACTGTTTTCCTAACTCCAAGGCTTCAAGAGCTCCTCTTATTAAGCACAGAACAAAAACACTCTAAGCCTGCTTAGACATCTGCACCGTGCATGCCACCCCCTGCACTGTGTATACCACCCCTCTGCACCTTGCATGCCGCCCTTCACCCCTGCACTGTGTATACCATTGCTCTCCACCTAGACAACCTCGTTTCACTGCTGTTCTTCAAGTCCCGAGTCAAAAGTTTTCCCTTTGAAAGCCTTCTTACTTCTCTGATAAAGTTAGGAGTTACTTTGCCTTTTTGTGCCATTTTGCCTCAGGCTTCCATGAGATGAAAGCATGTGAGTGTGCATGCGAATCAGGCAGGCAGGCAGGCAGACAGACAGACAGACAGACAGATACATAGGCAGGAAGGCAGACAGAGCTGCTGTGTTTTCTAACTAGATTGTCCCTATCTGCTGTAACCTGGCTGCAGACCTGCCTGTCGTAAACTGTAAAGAACTGTGACTCTGCTCTTGTCTGATGCCTCATACACACCCTACCACAGAAATCCCCACTTAACATGTGTACAGAGCACATGAGGAGTATTTTCACAGTGCTTCTTGGTCAAAAGGAAAGTGTCACAATTCCCTTTACTAACGTCTAAGCAACTAAACTGGCATTCCCGTTCTAACAAAGTAGACACTGTGTTCACATTCCAACTAAGTAGCCATTTGAAAAAGCCATTTGTGCAAACTGAAAGAAAGATAAATATTTTAAACCATCAGTGAATACACCATCAGTTACAATGAATGGTAGGTGAGTTGTAGGGTGTATCCTCTCTCCCACCCAGCCTCAGACTGGACACTCTGACCCTCATTTCTGGGTCTAAACGATCAGGCCAGCTGTTTTTTGTTGTTGTTGTTGTTTTGTTTTGTTTTGTCTACCACTTTATACTGATATAAACTAACCTACATATGAGTGAGGAACAAGATCACAAACAGAAAGAATAACATCCTAAGGAAGACCCTGCAGGACAGGATCTTCATCTGAGTAAAGATTATCAGCAAAGGAGCAAGCATGAATAACGTACCTATTGACAGATTGCAATAAAAACAGAGAAAATTGACATTCATGACTAAGATATGTGTTACATAAAACTTAGTTTCAAAGAAACAGTGGGAAATTTTGAAGTGAGGGTCATTCTATAAAAGAATTCATCTATGGAAAAATGAAAGTTTATTCAAGAAACGGCGCTGGCACAACTAGATATCAACATGTAGAAGAACACAAATAGATCCATATCTATCACCATGCACAAAATTCAAGTCCAAATGCATCAAAGACCTCAACATAAAACCAAATACACTGAACCTCACATAAGAGAAGTGGGAAATACACTTGAACACATTGGCATAAGAAATTACTTCCTAAATAGTAGCACAGACACTGAGAGAAAAAATTAATAAATGGGACCTCCTGAAACTAAGAAGCTTCTGTAAAGCAAAGGACATGGTCAATAAGACAAAACGGCAGCCTACAGAATGGGAAAAGATCTTCACCAACCCCATGTCGGACAGAGGACTGATCTCCAAAATATACAAAGAATTCAAAAAATTAGTCATTAAAATAACAAATAATCCAATAAAAAATGGGGTATAGACCTAAACAGAGAACTCTCAACAAAGGAATCTAAAATGGTTGAAAGACACTTAATGAAATGCTCAATATCCTTAGCCTTCAGAGAAATGCAAATCAAAACTAACTCTGAGATTCCATCTTACACCTGTAATAATGGCCAAGATCAAAATCACTGATAACAACTTATGCTGGAGAGGATTGGGGTAAAGGGAACACTCCTGCATTGCTGGTGGGAGTGCAAACTGGTACAGCCCCTTTGGATATCAATATGGCAATTTCTCAGAAAATTAGGAAACAACCTACCTCAAGACCTAGCAATACCACTTTTGAGTATATGCACAAAAGATTCTCAATCACATCCAAGGACATGTGCTTAACTATGTTCATAGCAGCATTATTTGTCATAGCCAGAACCTGGAAACAACCTAAATGCCTCTCGACTGAAGAATGGATAAGGAAAATGTGATACATTTACACAATGGAATACTACATAGCAGAAGAAAATAATGACATCTTGAAATTTGTAAGCAAGTGGATCTGGAAAACATCATATTTAGTGAAGTAATCCAGACCCAGAAAAAACAAATATCATATGCACTCACTCATAACTGGCTTTTAGACATAAAGCAAGCAAGCAAATAAACAAAAAACTAGCTTACCATTCACAATTCCAGAGAACCTGGACAACAATAAGGACCTTAAGAGAGACATGCATGGATCTAATCTACATGGGAAGTAGAAAAAGACAAGAACTCTTGAGTAAATTGTGAGCATGGGGATCATGGCAGAGGGTTGAAGGGGAGGGGAGAGAAAGGCAGGGGGCAGAGAAAAATATATAACTCATTAAAAACAATTTAAAAAAGAAAAGTTAAAAGAACTCATCTAAACGTCGCAGTCAGGAAAGGTGAAGAAAAAGTGGGTTATTTTACTATGAAAAGCGATGTCTCACTGGAGGAGGCTGAATGTGGCGCTAGTCTCTCGTCAGTGTTAGCGTCTTAGTTGCGCTGGCAGAATGTGGTCACATTGCTGCAGAACTGACAGCATCGTGCTCTCAAAAAATGTTCTGTAGGCCGGGCGATGGTGGCGCACGCCTTTAATCCCAGCACTCGGGAGGCAGAGACAGGCGGATCTCTGTGAGTTCGAGACCAGCCTGGTTACAGAGCTAGTTCCAGGACAGGCTCCCAAAGCCACAGAGAAACCCTGACTCGAAAAACCAAAAAAAAAAAAAAATGTTCTGTGCTTATAACTTTAAGTTTGAGGTTGATTTTTAACTAAAAAGTGAACTGTGAAGGAGCAGATTGCTGTCTTTATGTTTACAGCTGTGTGTTCTGTAGAACCGCTGTCTATTCAGCAGAGCAGGTGACCCTGTCATACTCCCGGGTCCCAGGCAAATACACTCTGTGGAATGTATGAGGGGAACAATCATACACGATCATTCTCCTTTATTATGTATATGAAATTAGGGAAATTTCCATGGATCAACAAGTCATTATTGAGGCTTAGTAAATCCAGCTCCATTCTGCAGTACTATGTGAGGCAGAGAAGGAGGGGACATCTGTAGAGCACCTGCTTTAGAGGGGGAAGGAAGGGGTTCTACCCTGAGCACTGTCTACTGTTGGACAGACGGGGCTGACATGCAACAGTGCAGCCATGTACTCAACTATTCACATACGCAGCTAGGATAGACAGGACTGACATACAACATGCTCAACTACTCAGGGGTTAGCTCTACATCTTTTCTGCCTCATCTTCAGCAAGAAGAGCAAACAGAAGTATCCAGGATGCCCAACTAAGGAAGACATGGAAACAAGGGAAGAGAGTAGCCCCTAAAATACAAATCACTGTTGACAGCAAATGTCTGAGTAAACGGACAAAGAGCTGTCTCTCCATCATGGAAGAAGAGCACAAGAAAACCCTAGGACCCACTCATGGTACTCACAAATTCACCTACATGTTTAGCTATTCACCACTCACTCCAGATGGCCACAGTTGTCACTAAACAATCAATGGAAACAGCACTCAGCGAGGAGCTGACATTCCAAGAGTAAGTCATGAGGCAATCGCGTGAACCCAGCTACAGACTCCACATCAAATCGGCACAGCTTGGGGAAAAAGCAAGTAGAGGTTTGGTCTATGTCAAGGACAGAGACGAACACACTGAGGTTAGCCTTGGGTATTTTCTGAGAAAGTAAGCATTTGAAGAAATGTGAAGGGTCATGAGAGAGAGGCAGGCAGGTCTTCTTGGAGCCAGTGCCATGCTGATATGCACTGTGCCCTGGAGAATCATATGCAGATTCCCTTAGAGCAGTGGTCACATTGAAAAGAAGTCTCACTATAGGAAACACAAACCAGAAAGAGAATGCCGAGGAAGGGCTGTGTACACGAGGAGCTATGACATCTTTATCAACAGCAAGACCAACAACTGTAAGACTCCACACAGCTCCTGGGGCCTCATAGCCTTCAGGACTTTATACTTTTGTTCCCCCACAACCCTGTGGGATGGGGTACTTAGGTGACTGCCTAACTTGAAGGAAAAGGAGACAAGAGGGAACGAGTAACTGCTAAGGAGTGGTCAGCATATGTCAAACTGCCCTACGGCTCCAGCATGACACTGTGTTACTTATGCAGCTCTCATTAGTTATTTGAAATCAGTTATTAGCTAAATACTGAGCAAGAATGAAAAGCAAATTTGGAGTCTGGCTTGATTTTTGGATTTTAGAAGCCCCATTCAACGAAACTGGAGCTGGGCATGATGGTTTACAAAACAACCCTGTACTTACAATTATGAAGTATATAATCACACTAAGCCATAGTTTCCTAATTAGTTAAAATTAACAAGCACTCAAGCAACTGGAACCCCAATTTCCTAGGCCACACTCAGGGGAGTAGGGAGGTACACAAAGGCCACACTCAGGGGATCAGGGAGGTGCTGGAGGCCACACTCAGGGGAGCAGGGAGGTACTGGAGGCCACACTCAGGGGAGCAGGGAGGGTCACAGAACGGCACTCACCGTGATTCTCTTCATGTCTAGCTGGCGCAGCTGCATCATATTCTGAAGGACCGTGTGTTTGTACCATGACTCTTGAGCTATTGGATTGCCATCAAAGGTGATGTCTGAGAGGGACGTTGACTCAGCAAGGCAGGAAACACTGTCAAAGCTGCAGAAGAGAGGCCACTGAATTATTCTGAGGCTTTTCCAACAATATTTCCAGTTTTTAAAAATAAGATTTTCTTTTTTTTTCTTTCTTCTTTATGTGCACACTTGTTTCTGTGAGTGTGTCAAGATTCCCTGGAATCGGAGTTACAGACAGTTGTAAGCTGCTATGGGGGTCCTGGAAATTAAAGCTGGGTCCTCTGGAAGAGCAGCCGGTGCTCTTAACCCCTGAACCATCTCTCCAGCTCTTGTTTTGTTTTGTTTTGAGACAGTCTTGCTATGCAACCCTGACTGATCTGGAACTTTTGTACTAGGTAGATGAGGCTAGCCTGCTTAGAACTTACAGAGTAGGTAGACTAGGCCAGCCACAGGCTTACAATAATCCTCAGCCTCTAAGAACTGAGATGACAGGCAGGCACCACCACTCACAGCATGTTATGGACTTTGAAAGAATAATTTAGATCTGCAGAAAAATTGAGATGATATACAGAGTTTTCACACACTCCATCTCCCATGTCATTACACACCGTGTGTATATTCGGGTAGACAGGCTAGCACTCCTTGTTCCTGGCACTACAGTGCTTACTCTCTGAACTCCACATTCCTTACCCATTCCTGAAAGCAACCATTTCTCAGCACAGCACTTCCTTCTATTAGGGACCGGAATCAGCAACAAAGCCTGGGACGGAAATGCACTTTTTAGCTATTGTGACGACACTTGTTTTAGGTCCCTCCGATGGGAGAGGAAATATGTGTGTACACTGCCCTGTGTGTCTGCATAAGCACATGCCTTAACATGTCTCCGTATAGCCAGCTGTGCTCATATTAACAAGCACAGTTCCTCCTGATGTCTCCAAATCTCATCTATTACCCAAGCTTCCTCCCCTTCCCTGTCATAAGTGACCACTCCAAAAGGGAGGAGCCTGGCTTATATCATACACTACCCATTTACTGGAATTTTCTATTCCAGTTTAAATGTATAAAGGCACTGTAATTTTTTTAAACTGCACCCACAAATGACCAATTTCTATAGGCCATCATGTCCCTCCGTACCCCAGAGATTGGTTCATACATTTGCAATATAGTCAGAATTTCTTAGGGTCAGAGCCTGCATCCCTTACTGAGATATCAAAATCTCTTGATGGTTTTTCAAATGTAATACACCTTGAGGTTCACTCTTTAGGGTTCTAACATTCCGTGACTTGTATCAAATGGATAGAGTATGTGTTTACTACTGAAGTACTGTATGGAATAATTCCCATGGTTAAGAGAAACTCCCCTGTGCTTTACTCCATCCCCCAAATTTCTGGAAAGCGCCAATCTTTCTACTTTCAGAGTTCTGCAATTTCCAGAATGGTGGATGGCTGGAAGCATGTACTACAACATACTCTTAAGTCTGGAAGGACTTCTCTCACTTGGCAATATACACCTAGCAGGCTTCCACCCATGTCTTCTCCTCATAGTACGTTTTTTATAACTGAGTAATAGTCCATTGTATGATTATATCGCTTTCTTCATTAACTCCAGAGCACGCCTTGATAATATGTGAAGACATTGTGAGTCTTTGGACTAAGCTCTGGATACATAACAAGAGAACTGCTGCTGGCTCACGCAAAGGCTGATTATCTGGCTCTATAAGATACTCAGCTAGGGCTATCAGCTCCCTGTCCCTGCCAGCATTTGATGTTCATCGGTGTCTCTGGATGCTAGCGACTCCATCAGGTTAACAGTGGCATGGCGTTGTTTCCTCAGCAGTTGCCTTCATCTCCCACAGGCACGTTTGCCCGTGCTCTATCTTAGTGGTATTTTCAGAGCCTTTGCTCATTTTAAGTGGATTCTTTGTTTTCTTATTGTTGAGCTTTACAAGGTTTATTAAATACATTATGGTTATGTGTCCTTTACTAGGTGCATGCTTTGCAAGTATTTATTACCTGTTTCTTTAAAACATGATTTAACAGCCAGGGCGTAATGGCAAACACCTTTAATCCCAGTACTTGGGAGGCAGAAGAAGGCAGATCTCTGAGTTCAAGGCCAGCCTGGTCTACAGAGTGAGTTCCAAGACAGCCAGGGCTACACAGAGAAACCCTGTCAAGAAAAAAATCAAAACAACAAGAAAAAAACAAAACAAGTAAAAATGTATATTTATTTATGTAGTGTGTATATGGATATGCACATGCCATGGCAGATGTGTGAAGGCCAGAGGAAACTTGTGGAAGCAGTTCTCCCCTTCCACCATGTGGGCCCATTGGATCAGCTCGGGCCCTCGGGTATGGCATTGGATACCTTTACCTGCGAGTCAACTCCCTGGCCCCTCTTCATTCCCTTAACTGTGTCTTTCCAAAACAGGGGGTTGAATTTTAATGATATATAATTTAGTAATTTCTTCTTTTTGTAAAATCCTGTTTTAGTTTCTGAATAATGTCTTTGTTTTCTTCTACAATTTAGTTTTGAGAGTTTTACATTTAAGCTTACAACCCATCTTGAGTTAATTCAATGAAAGGTCCAAATTCACATTTTCTCACATTGATGAATTGTCTGCGTTTTTGGTTGAAGATCCTCTGGCTGTATCTATTTGGGTATTTCCAGGCCTGTACTTGGTTCACTGATAAACGTGTCTAGTCTTTTACCTCTGACCTGCTGCTTTAAGTGTTGTGGCTTCAGAGTAAGTCTCTGTAATGCAGCTTTGAAATGATTCTAAAACATCATAGTTCACTCTGCAAATGATTCTAAAACGTCATAGTTCACTCTGCGAATGTCACTGACAAGAACATGAAGTATAGTCCCTCTTCCCATGAAAATGTGACATTGTACCTAATCAAGTCACAGGTGAATGACTGCCTTCAACTACTAGGCTCCAAAGTAAGCATCAGTCTGCCATCCCCACAGATGTACTGAAGACCCGGCCTATGGCAGGGCTGCTTCTGCCAGCTGTAAACTGTTCTGCCAGCACCAGCTCCACTTGTGAGTGCAGAGGGGCCTGTGCGCCATCATGGATCTTGTCTGTGCTGGTCAAACCACCTCTATGAGTTCACACTATAGAAAAACACTCCTCAGCTTCATTAGACTTCATATCTACAAAGACTCCCTTCCATTCTGCCCCAGCACCTAGACTGTAACAATTGGGCTCAAAGTGACACAGAAACTTCCTGTGTGGTCACTATGCCTCATCTGTCAAGCTCATTCCTTCCTCCCTTGTCAAGCACTGTGAATAAAAGCAGAGGAACATTGCCTCCCCACAGGCAATGAACTGTGTGTTAATGAAATCCCAGTGTCACGGTCAACTCCACTTAACTGTACCAGACAGTCCTTACAGGCTGCTGTGCGCCTTCAAGCTTTGTCCTTCAGTGTCATGCCAGGACCCTGGGTACCGACCCTTACACATGAAATGTAGAAACCATCTCTCGACAACTAGAAAACCACATACTGAGATTTTGATTTTTTTAAAGATGGGAATAATCACTTTATAAATATTAATCCTGAAAAACCTGGGAAATTCATTTACACCAGAGCTCAGCAACTCAACTATACAAACACTTATGCTGAAGAATAGATAATTTTTCAGGATTTATGTTGAAAATTACACCCCTGTATGAAGAAGAGAAGACACAGAATAGCATGCTACAAAAAACAACCACGTGACAGGTACAGTAACGTTCGTCATTCTTTGTTTTCATATTCAGACAGCTCTTCATGTTTTGAACAGATTCATAGTAAAAACATCCGATGTGATGTCACCCCAGAGTTGATCTTTACTGATCTGTGAGTTCCCGATCTGAAAGTGTGTTAAGGCATTTGAGACACGGCCGGATAATTACAGGAAGGCATTTAAAACAGGGGGAAATGAAGTTTGCAAACTTAAATTTAATAATGGCTTTAAGTAGATTTGAACAAACAGCTGCCACTCTGCACCAATGCCTTTCACAAAAACCCGCACTGAGGACAGGAACCGAGAGGAGTTGTGGGGGATTTTAGGTGGTGGGGGGGAGAGGGATGAGAGTTGGGGGTGGGTAATGGAGGCAGAGATGGTGGATGGGTGGCCGTAATGTAACCAGAACTGTCTCTCAGAAAAATCCCAATTTAGTGATATTGTGTAGTGGATCCAAGGAAAGAAAGACGTTAAGAGTAGAAAGCTGTGATCACAGTAGGGGGAAAGGTTGTTGGAGACCAATGCATTAAAAACTGTGGCAGTCTCCCTGGGAGTAAAGAGCAGAGACCCAGGGAAGACTGAACTGTGAAACAGAGTTCCTAATCATTTGGATGTGATAGAGAGAATGCTGAATGATAGCTAGGCTTCCCTCTCAAGTGACTGACTACAGTTGTGGCTACAGGGTACAGATGCTGTCAAAATTCATTAGACTACGCTTCAAATGAGTACACCTTAATACATGTAAATTATTTCTCAGAAGGATCGTTCAGAAAATTGGAGACTACTTTATAAGAACACATAGTTCCGTGACTGAATAAAACAATAGGGTAAAGTCTAATTGTTCCAAAGCGTCCTACTGATGAAAAATGATAATTGGATTTTCTTCATCCTATTCTTAGAATTATTTAAAAGGTTATAGATTATTCAAGAATTAGTTGACCTAATGTATATTACTAATCAGATATATACACTGAAAGAAATGCAAATAGTGTTCCCAGATTTAAAGAAAAGTGTGACGCCTGTATCGTACAACAGGCGGGTTCTCTCTGTGTTCTTATTTGCCACCTACAGCTAGATGCAGAAGAGCCTGCGCTTTGCTTCTGCTGCTGTGTGTAATTTTAAATAACGCTATCATCCAAACTAAGGATGCATGGAAATGCAGCTAACAGTCTCAGTAGCGTAAGTCACCATCGCCCGCCCTCTCAGTACTCCTTTGGGGTTGGTCTAGTGATCATCTGTTGAAAGAATGGGTGGTGCCACACACAAAACTAGATGCTGTCTTCAACAAACTCAAGGATAAAATGTGTTTTTGTATAGCGGAAAGCTGTACACCCAGGGAATGTGGTCACAATGGCACA